GGTCTGAAATAGGCCACCTCTAGCAGCTCTCTATACACCGCTTGTTTGACTAAAAAAGGAGGGCTGGGCATTCCAAAAGTTAAAAAGTATTGGGTTGCAAACCAAGTAAAGATAGTTCCAGATATTATAGCCCAAAACAAAGAAATAATATGGAGTGATATTGAATTAAAAGAATTAAGGGAAATAGGTGATCACTTAGAGACACATTGGTTTAAAAAAGGATATTAAAAAGATTATTAAGAGAATTCAAAATCCCTTTTAAAAAAATATGATGGAAGTATGGGAAAAATGGAGACAACAGTTAATCCTGGGAATTTCTCTGTTAATACCAGTGGTCGAAATGGAGAAATTCCCAACAACAGAATCAAAGGATTGGATTAATCAATTAAAATAATCATATATATAAATGGGAAGATTGGAAAAATAAGATAAAAAATCTAATACAATTAAAGAGTATATTGGCAGAGGCTAAATTAAATTGATTAAATTTAATTCAATTGGAAAAATGGATGAAGATGGAGGATAAATTTAAAGACGAAGAAAGACAATTAACAAAATTTGAAACAATTATAAAATAATGTGAGATTGAGGTAGAATACACAAGTAAAGGAAGAGTTGCTAAAAATTATAGGATATTAATGGAGTTAGGGGATCAGACAAAAAGTTTAAAAGCAATTTGGGAAATGGATGTGGGCGAAATAAAAGACAAGGATTGGAAGAATATTTGGAGTAGAAGAATATATAAGAATATATTGGTTAGAATTAAAGAACATGGATATAAAATGATATGGAGATGGTATTTAACACCAGTTAAGTTAAATCAAATTGATGACAAATATTCTAATATGTGTTGGAGATGTAGGAAAGGGATTGGAACTTATAAACATATGTGGTGGGATTGTGATAATATACATAAGATTTGGATTATGGTATTTAATGAAATTAGAGAAATTTTAGATATAGACTTAGAAATGTCACCGAGAATTGTGTTATTACTGTTGATTGAAAAACAAGATATAATGAAGTTAAGAAGGAATCGATCCAAAGTTTGATAGTGGTAGTTAGGCTAGTGACAGTTAAATATTGGAAACAGAACTGGGTTATGCAAAGGTATGAATGGTATAATGAAATATGGTAATTAATGATAAACTGACAACAGAAATAAAAATTAAAAATGGTTAATAAAAGCAAACAAAAATAATGACATTTGGGAAGATTTTGTAAAAGCAGTACTGATAGAAGGCAAAGGTTGTAAACCTAACCAAGATTATGAATTTCTGGAGGGGACATGGATGTAATTGAAGTATATTAATTGTTATAATATAAAAATTAAGTGGAGGTATTATTGGTCTCCGGGGTTGTGGGGGCACTTTATTATTTACTTTTTTAATTATTAATTGAGTTTTTGTATGTTATATTAATGTTGTGAAGTGTTGTATTTATGGTTTTTTTCTTCTGTATTTAAAAAAAAATTAAAAAGCAGGGGAAGTATCTTTAGGTGCAAAATGGTATAATTTGGCTGTAGCACCATCAAGTATAATACTCTTGTTGGTGTAAAGAGCCATGGTAGCTTGGATAGTATTTTCCATGTGTAGTTTCCTCAAGAAGTCAGTGGTGTCCTGCAAGTATTGGTGGCATATAAACTAAAGCAGGGATGGGCAACTTCAGATGCTCTGAGGGACAATTTCATCCCCATCCTGGGCTGTTCAACAAAATTTGGCTGCAGTGGCAAAACGCACACTTTAGCAACAAACTATGGCAGAAAATTTTAGGCAACTCATAAATTTTCAAATAAAATAAAAACCAATCAGTAAAAATTGAGAAGGCTGTTTAGCAGCTTTAAAATAAGTTTTGAAGGCTTAACAGCATCCAGTATATATCTTTAAGATGCTTAGGATAAATTACAATCAGTGCTTTCATTACCATCATTCTGTACTGGTCAAAGCTCTTTGAGTAGGTCACAAAACTTAAAACACAGCATAACATATTGCTTCCAATATTTGGACAGGACTGATGCTAACAGCAGACTTATTGTGCACCTGTCTTTCCTCTTGCCTTGAACATAGCCCAAAAATATGGAAGGCAGAGCAAATTATCATGATGAAGTACAAACGGTCAAAGCTTGTAGGAAGACTGACAGTAGACTAAACCTCAGAATGAGCTTAGAATGTGAACTATGTTAAAAAATAACTAGGAAGAATTTAAGATACCCACACCACTATGAATAAGGAGCACTACCACCACCACTGTGAATGAGGTGAAAAATGCAGTTGACCATCCCCAAGTTGCTATTTGGAAATAGCCATAGCATGATAGCTCTTTATCTCCTCTCACCACTCACATTGCTGCTTTGTGTCCCTCTATATTTTTCTCATTTGTGTTGACCTAGTATCTATTTTGAAGCAGATTTTTTTTGTTAAGGGCTGAGCTTTATAATACTTAGTTTCAAAACACTTTTATTTTATATTATGTAAAATGTTGATGTTATGCAGTACTATTTAAAATCCCCTTTAAAAAGAGGTATGTAAAAACTTACCATCCCTAGAAATATCATTTCTTCTTCTCTGAGTTGCAAAGTTTTCTTCCACTGTGCATATCCACGCCAAAACTGAATTTTAAATACAAAAGGAATGAGTTCAATTGCTTCCTCTACAACAAGGGGAAAAATAAACGGGAGAAGGAAAAACTAACAGTACAAATTTAACAACTGAGCACTAACAGGTTAGCATCTGGGTTTTTTTTTTGGCAGTGTTCTCAAACTTTCCTGTCTGGTTTTCAGTACAGACTGACAAAGAATAATGTGGAAGCTATCTTTCTGTGAATTATTTAGAAATGTCTATTCATATGCAGTACCCTTACATTTTAATTCTCTCATTTCCTATAATTTTAGATAGCAATGCTAGAAATAAAGTTAGAACTTAAAGAAATAAATTCGTTCTACATTCCTTTGTCTTCAACATACTACGCTCTTAAAATGCAAAACAGAAATAAAGGATATGCAGAGAACTCCTTTAGTTGTTGCCTCAAAGTATAATCACAGTCATGCATATATGCTTAGAATCATGGTTTCTAGAATTTGATACTGAGAAACATGTTGGACATTATTCCATCACACATCCTTGATAAAAATAAAAGAGTTGTTTTTAAGTAAAAGTTAACTATCAACTTTCTACCAAGGGTTGATCAACTCTACAACAATTTCAGGAGATGCACATGTTCCACAGGGCAGTTTATTCTTTATCACAATAAATCTTTGTACACACTAAGATAAAACTGTTGGTGGGTATTATCACAATTTCTAATTTTTACTTGGGCGGCGTGGTGGAGATGATTCAGCTTTCATTTAAAATAGTCCTAGGCAGAAGACTTGGAATCTTGTACCTGAAGGCTCAGGCTACCTTCCTTGAACTGTGACCCTATCCATGATAAGTCTTCTCATGCATTCCAGACATTGGGCATACTGGTTCACTTAATTTTGGCAACTGTCTAGAATATCTTTGGTAATCCACAGTTGTTCTTTATAGTTCTGCTTTTATTTAGAATAGCCCAAATTGCTGCCATTTTATCAGAAAAAGAAACAGTTCATTTAAATTACTAAAGGCACTGAACTTCTTAACTGTGAGATTCAAAAACTTGTTATGAAATGAGTCAACAAACTAAAGGCTAGATAGCATTAACTGCTGGGTGGTAATCAAATGAAATAAATGAATGATTAAATAAATGAATAATTAAGCTGAGCTCTAGAGCCTTCTAGTGTTGTGCCTTTATTTTAAACTTCTAGTGTGGGTGGAGAGATGTTTGGGAAGTCTCACAGCAAAAAGAGGTATTTTGAATCTAATGCTGTTAAGGGGTCTGAGAACTAGTTTTCACTTTTTCTTGTCTTAAGCCATTGAGCCTACATTGAGCCTTTCCGTTTCTACATATTACAGAAATCCATTGTATGTAGCTTTGCTAGCAGAAATGAAATGTTTCCTGAAATTCCTTGCAACATCTTCCTCACAAATTTGAGGGCAGAGGGACTGGTGATGTCAAGAGAATGAGAAGAATGGAGAGCTACCCTAAGATTCAGTTTTTCAAGGTTTCCTGGAAACCCCTAGAATTAACCCTAACCCCAACCCTAACCATGAGCTTTCTACAAGAATTCTCTAAGAAAAGTCAGAAAGGCTGAGCTAATGATAGAGCAAGTCAGGGCTGGGAGACCTTGCCCTTTTAATTTAATATAATTACCATCTCTATGTTACCTATGGCAGTTTATTCCATTTTCACAGTAATATATTTAGTTTACCCTTTGAATGCACATTGCAGCAGCTTCCAGATCTGGCCCTTTTGTACCATGAAGTCTGGCTAGCCTCTCTCTCTTTTCTTCAAGATAGATTTGTTTCATGAAGGTGGCCCTGAGTCGGCCTTGTCGAGCCCGTTCAGCCACTTGAATTGCTCTAATAGCTTCTTCTAAGAGCATGATCTTCACCTGTTTTCTCTGCAACATAAAATTGCAATGTAGAACAAAAATTAAATACATCAAGTGCATTTAATACACCCAGTCCCATACATCTGCAATGGAAGACATATGGGCTGATCATGGCACTTTCTCTGACAATAAAATTAAGAGAAAGAAGATCATGCATGCCACCTTGGGCTCCTCGGAGGAAAAAGGACAGTTAAATGTGACAAACACACAGTAGCACTGAAAGGAAAGAACATGTCCAGGATACAGCCACTGCAATAAACATCATACAACCAAATGACACTTTCTGCCCTTATCATGCCAACTAAAGAAAAGAAAAAGCTAGAAAGATAGCCTACAAATCCAAGGCTTTGCTGTCCATATAAGGGTCTAAATGTTATAGCAACAGGAGATGAGGGTGCTGTGCAAAGTCGAGAGACAGACATGAGACCACAGGTGGCAAAGGTGAATGGCTGAAGGCACTAGCTTGAATGCCCCCAAATCTAGAGCTGTCCTTGGACTGATTACAGACATATACTCACTGGTTCTCCATCATACATTCCAGCATCAAACATTATTTGAGCAAGGATTCTCTCTCTCTCTTTCAACACCTTTAGTTTCTCCTTAATAAAATACCTTGGAATAGGTATTTCAATGTTTTCCTGTCAAAGAGGGAAAGATACTTGTGTAAACCATGTTGGTCATTCATTTAATACCTTTTCTTCACAGATACACAAGAAGTGCTCAAGACATATTTCTTGAAATTTATAAAAGTTGTCATGCCATAACTCTGCAACTGCTTGAACTTATTTAATCTTTGGAGAATTCCAAAATTGGTTTTGTTACCTGTCAGCTGCCTTCCACTGAGTCAGAACTCAGGTGGAAAACTTGTTAAACGTCAACAGGGACCAGTTCACACCATTAAATGAGTAGCACTTGCCTGACATCATTAGCTTAATTACCCTTGCAGTTGTGGCTTGCCATGTCATCCAAAGGCCTGGGTTATTTTGAGAGTTGCTTCCCCATCAACCAAGCCATGCCACCTGGGTTTAGATGCCATGACAAACCATGCCTAGGTAAGAATCTAGGCTAATAGCATCAGGCATGCCCTGGGCATTTAAAAAAAGGGGGAATTATTTAAGCCACGGTGGCTTGCTTTCATTGTATAAATGGAATATTGGTGAAGCCTGAACACTCAAAAATGTGTTACACTAATCTGATTATTAAATAATAATTTAATAACAATTATTATTAAATATATTAAATAATAAACAACCAACAAAGCTTGTTGTGATGGTATTACCTTGTCATCTCTTTATCCCTATATTTAATGTATGAATAAATGTCCACACACACACACTCAGTAGCAATCCCCCTACCCATATAGAATTAGCCAGGAGCAGAACAGATGAGGGAAGTGGGAGATGGGAAATCTTGAAGTATAGTCTACAGTTGGAAACAGAGCTTTCATTAACATGCTGAAATGAAGAACACTTACAACTTATTTATGCCTGAAATCAATCAGAAATGCTCAGCTGGTGAGTTTTTTATTTTTTATTTATAGCCTGCCTTTTTCCTACAAAGGGCTCAAGGCAGCTTACATCATTCACCTCCTCCATCTTTTACTAGTGAGAAAGAAATACAGCAGGAACCCCTTATCTGATGGCTCAGTTAACTGTGGTTGACCTCAGCCCAAAAGAGAAGTGGTAAGGTGCCGTAAAGTGCCAAAGGAAGTGTTAAAGTTCTTCATGTAAGCAAGAATTCTTTATTTAATAGGGCAAGAAAAGATCATATGCTGAGGTAAGAATGAAAGAAATTGGGAAAAAGAAATGTATATAGTTTGACTATATAGTTTATTTAATTTGTGGCTTGCCACTTACCACCTGCTGCCACCAGCCACAGGTGCCCACTTGCCACTCTCAAACATCTGTCATTTGCCATATGTGGCTCTTCTGTTGAGCAAGTCTGGCCATCTCTGGTATAGTGTTTGCTATTATCTGCAGCTTCAGGCACCTATTGTGAGGCTTGGAACTGATGTGCACAAGATATGAGGGTCCTGCTGTAATCATGGAACAAGATTCTGTAACTTCACTGTGCTGAAAAGAAATTAACTGAACTATTTATTTGATGTGAACTAGTATTTTATGTCTGAATGCCAAGACTACAAGGGTTGGTTCTAGCCAAACATATGGGCACCAATATTTCTGAATGTGAGGGAAGATTCTGATATTACTTTATAGATTAACACATACAACATATTGATGTGCAATATGTACCCCTGTGGACGTTTCTAACATCTAATTTACTTTTTACATCAACTTGTTGAAAGAGAGCTCTGTGCACTGAATCTGAATGTTGCCCTTTGGATCCTGCATTTACAGCATGGTTTATTCTTTTCAGTCTTGTGTTCCAAGACAGTTCCTGATGTGGGCAACAGGTGGAGCTGTATGAGAGAAAGTTAAATTTATGAATTTCAAACTGTGAGGCTTGTTGGGGAATTATCCACTCCTCCCTGACTCCTTGAAACCCAGAGTGTGCATGCCTTGATTACTAGTGAAGGTGACATACTGCTATTCAAGACCTTTTCTTACAATGTTTCATTTATTTTATACACATGGCTGCCATGGTTAATCTGTGTGAACTTCCTGTTCAAGGTTTTGTGCCACCTCAAGTGCCTGAAAAGTGCTGTCAGCACTCACACAACCACCTTAATAAGGTAATACCTAGAGTTGGATGCCAAGTAGACTGCTCAAGAGGTTGTGTGAGATTGTGTGAAGCCTTTCCATTTGTGAGCAATGGGCTCAGAATCCAAATAGTGAAAACACTTTACATTTTATGTCAAATTATATATTTGATGTTAGAGTAGGAAACAAGTTCTATTTCAAACTAGAAGTGCCAACAGAAATGAAGTGGAACTCCACACAATTTTCACAAGTGAGAGCAAATGAATAATCCACTAAACAGGAATATTTGTAATTTAAATAAATAGCACTTTCAAGTGATTCTCAGGCTTGGACTCTATGAAACAGAAGTACATTAACAAGGGGGTGGGAGAGTATACTTACAGGTGACAGCTTAAGATCCTGTAAAATGTCATCAAAGTAGTGATATTCTGAGTACTCCAGCTCCACCATTTCATTCTTCAGTTCCAAGATGCGGCCCATTACTCCATCGAGTATTTGCCGAATGATTAAGCGCTTTTGTGGGTGAACAATCTGGTCGTATGCAGTTTCCAAGTTGCGAAATATTTGCACATATTTGATGTAGAAGGTAGCTAGCATTTGAAACACTACCACACGATCTTTCACTGGCCTTTGGGACTTCTCTTCTATCTCCTTCTGCAACAGGCTGTTGAGGGATTCTTGGGCTTCAGCCCATATTTTATTGTAAGTGCTAATTGGAAGTGGGAGGAGAACACTTTAGTTCTTAAAAGCAGTATTAAATAATATACAACTGCCCGTGCAATTGTATACATAAATACACAGAAAAAACACTATATAAATTAAAACAGTAAGAAATGTAAGTATTGCATCTTTGGTATCATTACCCCTAAAGTCATTTAGGAAAGTAGCATTCAGAAGTTATGTTGGAAGTCTATTTGCACTACGCTGTGCAAGATCTCAGTGATGGGTTTGTTTTTTTAGAGCTGTATTCTTATTTTAATGTAATGAATATAAAGTTATTGTATTTTTTAAATCTCATATTTTAATGAAGCGGATTCCAAGTTAAAGTACCAGAATAAATGTTAAAGCAGATTTGTTAAAAATATTAAAGGCTCTTGCAAAGGACGGCATACAAATATCTTAAATAAATAAAGCAAGCAAGCAAGCTGCCAGGTTTTTATGGTTCCCTATCTCTGTGCCTTTAACAGCAGCTTCATCTACAAAAATTAGCAATGGCAAAGTTTATCTCCATGTCCTGAAAAGCTTCACTTTCTATAGATTAAGAAGTTGTTTATAGGTGTAGAAGACAGACATAGTTATGCCTTTAACATATATTTTGGTAGAAATTGTATGCAAAATGTGGCCCCTCTTTCATATCTAGTTTAGGTTTTTGTAGATATGTTAAGCAAAGCACTAGATCACGGAAGTGTACAAAACTGAAATTCAGTTTAATCACATTTGCTCACTGTGTAGAGTGACCAAATGGAAAGATGGCTGTTGAAACAGAAGAATGGATTTTAGCGAGTGAACCTTTCATGCCAATCTAAATCTGTTGACATTTCCTCTTCTACACAATTTTCTTTTTTACAAGTGGATCTCCATCCTCTTTTCCATCTAGTGACATAAGGTGGCCATGTGACTTCTCTGAAGTTCTGCTGTGGGACTTTCCTCTGTTTGAGGGGCTCTCCTGTCCAATGCCGGTTTAAAGATAAAGAGTCTTAAGAATCATTGCTCATCCAAGCTGAGCAGGCAGGCACACGGGTCACCCAGCCACAATCTTCTGCAAGACAGTGAGAACAACTATATTTCACTTCTCACTAAATCTGCATCTATGCATACAAACTGACACATACAAATTGCCTTCCCATTTTCGTCCTTTTTTTGACAATTTGTAATTGGTCAGTCCTATACAGGACTCCTGAATATGGGCCTATGTCATGGTCTACAGCAGAGGTGGGCAGACTTCAGGATTGTGTGATCCATTTCACTTTTTCACAGGAGTCAAGCATCATCTACTGGGAGCCAATAAGGGCTTGGGGACAGGGGCAGGTAGGCATATACTGTTAAGGAACAGAATACCTATGGATACATGCACTTTCCAGGAATTAATTTCCAAAACAAGGAGGGAGTTTACAGCCTTTTCATAAAACTCCTGGTTTTTCTCTTTCTTCATTTCAACAGCCTACCATTAGGGTAATAGACCATTTAGAATTGCTATTCTGTTGGCAATTTCTAAGCCACCTCTACCACACTGGAAGCCTCTGGCAGGAACAGAGCCAGGAGCTACAAGAAGGAAGACATTCCCTTAGCAGCAGATGCATTCCCTAACCTTCTATTGTTGCAGACCAGATTAATACAGAATTAGGTTGAGTCATGTTAACAACACATGGCCCAGTCAAATACAAAAACAAGACATCAGTCTTTATCCTTTCTATTTGTAATTCATTGTAACTATCGTGATCTATTTCACTTGAAGAATTGTCATTTTGTGAGGGCAGATGGTGGAGAATAACTGATATCTGCAAGACCTTTACTGTAAACAGAATGTTGTACATTGTTTAATCAGTTTTTTATAATCTAAACAGGGTATAAGAACTCTAACAAATGAAGTGAAGAGTTTGAGAATCTGTATATTGTGGGGACTGTTAATATAAGAAAAAGTTCCAGTGTCGAATTTAGTAGTTCTAGGTTACACAACTAGCGTACCAAATGTCCAAAGTTTTGTCCAAGACTGACAAAGATAATAAAAGGAATGAAACAGAAGCTTAAATGCAAGGGTAAAAAATATACACATAAAATGTTCTTCCTACAAAGCTTTATTCAGAATTCAGTAGAGTTCAGGTATCAAAGGGAGTAGGAAAGATATTTAATATTTATATAGAATAAAAGGACAGTAAAGTTGGAAGAGGCCAAGAAAGTCATTGGGTCCAAGCCCCCGTTCAATGCAAGACTCATTAAACCATCCCTCAGATGGCTGGCCAGGTGCATCCTGATTGCCTTTATTGTGAGAGAGCCCACAACCTTCCTAGCTCAATGGTTCTATTGTCATACTTCTTTAATGGTCAGGAAGTCCATCATGATATTCAGCCAGAATCTGGCTTCCTCTAATTTGAGCCCATTATTCTGTGTCCTACACTCAGGGATGAGGAATAAGAGATCCTAGGCCTCCAATGTGTGACAACATTTCAAGTATTGAAGAGTACTATCATGCTTCCTCTCATTTTTCTCTTTCTATGGCTAAACATGTCCAGTTCTTTTAATTTCTCTGCACAGGGCAGTTTCCAGGCCCCAAATCATCCTTGTTGCCCTCCTCTATAAGCCTCCCAGCTTGTCTGCAGCTTTCTTAAACTATGGTGCTCACTTTAAGAAAGAAGAGTACAATACTTCAGATGGGGCATAACCAGTGCTGAGCAGAAAGAAACTAGTACTTAATGTATTTAGAAGTGATACTTCTATTAATGCAACCCAAACTAACGTGGCCTTTCTGTAACCACATCACATTGTTGACTCATATTCCACATGTGACCCACAACAATTCCAAGATCTTTCTCGCTTGCAGTATTGTTGAGCCAAGTATCCTCTATCTTGTACAAATGTACTTTGTTTCCTTTTCCTTGGTGCAGAACATGACATTTGTCCCTACTGAATTCCATTCTGCTGTTTTCAGCCCTGTGCTCCAACCTATCAAATTCACTTGAAATTTGGTTTCTGTCTTCCAGGTAATAGCTATCCCACCCAATTTTGTGTGATCTGAAAATCTGGTGTTTCCTGTAGTAGTTCACCGAATTGATTATACTGTTTTTTGCTTAATATATTTAACTAATTAATATCTGACCTTGGCTGTGTATTTTTCTGTTTTATTGTTGCTATTCTAGGTAATATAGTTATTTTATGTAATATTGTAATCTGCTTAGAGAGTCTTCGAACTAGTACAGCAGAATATAAACTGAATGAATGAATGAATTTGTTGAAGAGCACTTGGCCCTGGACTGGACTCTTTGGTACCCCACTCATTAACTCTCCTCATTTTGCAAATGTGCCATTGATGAGTGCTCTTTGAGTCCAATTCTGTAGCCGATTCTCACCTGATCATGGACCCACCTGAAAGTTGTTAACCCACTTTTAGCTAATTTCTTAGGCAGAATATCATGGAGCACTTTGTCACAAACTATCCTAAGATCAACATATGTCAACAGCATTCCTACAGTCCACCAGGAAGGTTACCCAATCAAACAATGAAATCAGATTAGTTTGCCAAGATTTGTTCATGGCAAATCATTGTTGGCTTCTAGAAATCACTGCACTTCTTTCAAGGGGTTTGCAGACTGACTCATTTATAATCTACTCCAGAATTTCCCCAGGGATTGATGTCAGACTGACTGGCCTGTAGTTCCCAGGTACTTTTTTTCCTTCTTGAAGATGGGAACATTATTGACCCTTCTCCAGTCGTATGGCAGTCAACCCAGTCAACCCTGTTCTCCATGATTTCTCAAAGATAATAAACAGTGGTTCTGAGAGTTCTTCTGCCAGTTTCTTTATTACTCTATGATAAAGTTCATTGGATAAATGGTTCATTGGACCATTTAAACTAATTAGATGATCCTTGATTACTTGCCTATCAATCTCAAATTGCCATCCTGCTTCTTCAGCTTGTAATTTACCAGGAAGGTCAAAGATCTTTTGGGAGAAGTCTGAGCCAAAGTAGGAGTTAATAACTTCTGCCTTTTCCTTTGTCATCTGTTATCATTTTGCCATCCAAAAGTTGCTGAACCCCCTTCTCTGTCCTCTTTTATTTTGGATATATCTGAAGAAGGCTTTTATCTTGCTTTTAGCATCCCTTGCTAGCCTATTCCTACTTTTACCCTTCCTGATACCATCCCTGCAATTCTGTGCTACCAGCCTATATTCTTCCTTTGTAGTCTGGCCTTCCTTCCACTTTCCATACAAATCCTTTTATTCCAGATAATATCTAAGCTTTTTGTGAAGCCATACTACTTCTTCTGTTGTCTTCTACCATTTTAACTTGTTGGAATTGTTTGTAATTGTGCCTTTAGAAGTTCCTTTTTTAAAAAATTCCCAGCTATCTTGGACTCCTTTTCTCATTAGAGTCACTTGCCGTGAGACTTTGCTTATCATTGTTCTGAGTTTTCCTAAACTATTTTCCATTGTTCTGAGTTTTCCTAAAATCCAAGGTATGGGTTTGGCTACATTCCTTTAGAATCAAGAATTCAAGGATAGCATTTTCACTTTTCCCCTAATGTTTGTAAACCATCCAGAGAGCCCTCTGGGCTATTGGGGTGGTATATAAATGCAATCAATCAATCAGTAAGTAAGTAAGTAAGTTCCTGTAACTGCACTTTATCCCCTTGGTCCTCTGTGTTGGTTAGAATCAAGTCAAGGACAGCTGTTCCTCTAGTTTCTTCCTCCACCTTCTGTATTGCAACATTATCAGCTTCACATATTAGGACTCTCTTGCAGAAGCCATGTTTGACATATGTCCCCCAACAAACATCAGGGAAATTGAAGTCCCCATTACTACTACTTCATGCCTCTCTAAAACACTGACAATTTGCTTTTCAAAATCTTCATGCTCATCCTCTCCTTGACCCCAACCACCATGTTCCTTTTATTTCTTGTCCCAGATGGGGCTATTAATCCAGATGCTCTCAATGGGACTAAAACTCCTTCATCTTCTCTTATTCCCTTGAGGATGGACACTCACTGCTCTAGTGCTCTCACCTTTTCTTCCAACAGGGCAGCAAGCTTGTGCTTGTTGCACATGTAGGCCAGGCTGACCTCAGGCAAGAGAACTGGGGAGTATTCTCTGAACATACTTTCTGCTACCTTTTTGATTTGACCGTGCTGTTTTGTAACAGCCTGTCCTTTCCCCTGTGTTTCCTGAGGGTTAACAACAGAGACCACTTAGCCTCTGCCTTTGTCCCATCCTCCACTACAACGCAACTGCCAAACTCCTGTTCACTCTCCCTGTTCACTCACTCACTGGGAGCTTGCATAGAATGGTCCCTACATCAGCTGGGGCAGCCTGCTCTGCTCTGCTCTGCTAGGAGTCAGAAACCAGAATGAATCTCCCCACCTACTGCTGCTGAAAGTAATCAAGCTACTCCCCTTCAGTTGCAGCTATCAGGAACACATAGTCAGTTGGAAGAGAAAGTTCCTGGCCGTATTCCTGACACCTTTGCCCCTGCCTTTCTTCCACTATAGCTCCTCTGCCAAACCCGTTAGCTCATCTAGTTCACTCACTCTGGGAGTTTACTTGCTTGTGTAGAACAGTCCCTAGACTAGCTGGGGCAGCTTCCTCAGGTCAGCTCAGCTGGGAGTAAGGAGTTGAATTTATTAATTTAATCATACAGTTATATTTACACTCCACCTTTTCTCATACAGGCCAAAGAATATTTCAAAAGGAAACTGTAACAGGTTAAATTCAGATTTACCCATATTTAAAATTGACCTGTTGAGTGCAATAGAACTTTGCCATGATTCACTTTTGATTCCAGAGCAGATGATGCAGAGCAGATGATGAATCTGGAATCACTTTTGATTCCAGATTCATATGATGAGCAGAGCAATACATTATCCCTTGGCAGTGTCTACATAGCCATAGGATTATCTGCAGTCCCAGCCGTGACCTTGAAAATTCAGTTCAAGATTAGAGCTATTGACAAAGAAATAACTGCATTTGTGCTTCTCCAAGGTTACAAATGTGACTTTGGAGGAGTTTTCTGGTCATTCCTCATGGCAAGGGAGGAAGGAGGCCAGCACCACTAAGAGATAAAAGGTATCCTGATAGCACCTCAGCTTGCTTCCCTTACACTTCAAGGCACCATGCTTAAACAGCTGAAATCAGCCCATGTTTTGCTGGACAGGATGAGTGCCCAAGCTTGGCCTCTGCAATCCTTCCGGTCTGCAGAGATATCCTGCAATCCTGTGAATTTAGAGGCTTAGAGGCATCGAAACTGGGTTGCATCCTAAGTCTGGATCCAAACCAATACAAATACATTTAATTGCAATCATAACATAGCTATACAACATGTACTTTCTCACTATAAGAATCTATGTTTTAAATACCTAGGTTATCATTATGCAACTGAAAATCAAAAATGTAATCTACCAAAAGAGACTTAGTTAACACAAACTTCTATATCATTAGAAACCCATTCATCCTTTACAGCAGATTAACTTATATGCCCAGACATGACAACACACTCTTCTTTCTAGTTAGAGGCGTGAATAAGTGAAAGATGCTGAAATCATATAAATCCTTTTGTTTCTAAATACTGATTTCCATTTCATTATAATTGATAGTTTATACTTATTTTAAAGGTATATGACTCAGACTTCTAATGAAATTAACAGCAGGTGAGTAGAATGATTACTTCCTTGCATTGCCTAGCTGTTGGCAAAAGCAGTGTCTCATGTCCTTTTGACATGTCTGGGCATGCTTGTTCTGTGGAATTCAAAAGAGGCTGTAGATGTATATTGATCTAAAAGATACTGCATTTTTGTTTTTTAGTTCTTTCTTTTCAAATGATTTCATATAACATAGTCAGAGGTAAAATATTTACAGTGGTACTTACGAACTTAATCCGTTCCACGACTCTGGTCGCAACCCAAATTGGTCGCAACCCAAGTCAAATTCCCCCATAAGGTTCAATGTAAACATGGTTAATCCATTCTGACCTCATGAACCTGGTTGCGAGCCAATTTTGGTCAAGAGCCAAGTCAAATTTCCTCATAAGGTTCAATGTAAATAAGGTTAATCCATTCTGTAAATATTTTTTAAATCACAAAAAACTGAAACAGAGTAACAAACAACAACAAAGTAACAAAGTACAGTACAGTAGAGAACAGTAACCTAGGTGGGGGGGAGGTTATTGTTTGGAGGGAGAGTCCTAATTGTGCACTAGCGATTGTGCTTGGGGGGGGAAGATGGCTGTGGTCGTGATCGTGCTCATGCAGGGAAGACGGGCGCAATCGTGCTCGGGGTGGGGGGGAGGCACAATTGCAATCGCGCTCATGCATGGAAGACGGGCATAATCGCACTCATGCAGGGAAGATGGCTGCGATCATGGTTGTCACCCAATGCGGAGTTCGTGAAATGAGGCAAAATTTTTGTGAAATTTCTGTTCGCGACCCGATTTGGTTGTGAACTGAGGCATTCATGAGCCAAGGTACCACTGTATCTTTAAGCACTGCAGACTTGCAAGTTACACCCATAATTTCAGGTATTCCTATAACATTTTCAAATTTGCCTCACTTCTGGTCTTTTAACAAAAGTCTTAAGTTACAAATAACATATCCTGTTTTGTATAATTTCATATTTATACCACTTTACACTCACACTATCTCTATTAGCAGTGAAGTACCTTTATGTTTGACAGCTTTTTCAGCGTTTCCATTAATCCTGTCCTGTAACCATTTCAGTATAATATTCTGCCTTGCATACTGTAAATGACATGTTAAACTGAAAGCATACTCTCATTTAGCTGTCAAAAAACACTCAAATGGATTGCCAATGGTTATCTGAATGAGCACATTCTACTTTCAT